AATTGTGCAATGGCTTCAGGCTCAGAGAGGCTCCACACTGCGACTGAAGCACTCAGCTCCCTTTGGGACTGGCACAGTTATACGTGCTCAGATCAGATTACTCAGACCCATTACCACCCCAGAGATGCATTAATGAAGCTCAGCTGAAATGCAGTTTCACAGCTAGCCAGAACCAGAGCTCTTGCATCGTCATTGATATTTAAAGACATTTAACGTCAGAACAACAACAATTGCTCCTGCTATCCAGTCCATCCTTAAACCAAACCAAAGCAGTAGTGCCGTGCAAGCAGAGTCAACAAAATGATTAGTGAAAATGCCAGCCCTAAACCTGCTTTGCAGCACAATCAATGTGCTTTTTCCCGATACTTCTGGGGACTGCGAGTATTCAGGACTACTCCAGCTTTTGAGTTCCACTGGAAAAACCAAAGCCTGCTGCTGTGGTCCAAAGCAGAGTGTGCTGCCATGGGCAGTGCTCAGAGCTGCTCCCAAACCACCATAACCAGCAGCAGTCTTGCTGCCATGATCTGCAGCAGAAAGCAAAGTGCCATGGTAGCATTCAGCTATGCTCTGTGCAGCACTGCAATGACAGCACTGCAAGTCAGGGTGGCCCTGCAGGTGACAAGGACCTGGAGGAGAATGGCAATGCCAAGCAGTGAAGGACACTGCCTGCTGCAGCCCCCAGACCCACTGGTATCACCCACCAGCCACCTCCCAGACCAGCAGCTGCATTCATGGCCAGGGACTGCCACCTGTCCTTTCCAGGTGGCCTCTGCTCCTTTAATGCACATCTGGTAGGGACTGGATGGGAATGGGAATGGGCTCAGCAGCTCAGGGCACCCGCACACAGCCAGGGGGTGCATGGACAGCCTTGTCTGGGGACCCCACACTCATTCAGTTTGCTAACTTAAGGCTGCCAGTTTAGGTTCATGGCCATGATTAAACTCGTGTGCCTGCATTCAGCCAAGTCCACTGCTACAGCCATCCAAGCCTAACACAGGCCTGAACCCAAATCTGCAAGTTTATGAGTTTGGAAATACCATTGCAAGATGAAATTACTTAAACAACAGCTGGGATGACAAGGTTCCCACAAAGTTACCTAGCAGCAGAGGTGGGTTTTTGGATGTTAAGAGTTTTGGATGTTGTCTCTGCCAATATCCTCAGGCTAAATAGCCAGGGCTGGATGCAACGCCATCAGTGAACATCAGGCTCAAAGGGCTGCAGTAAATGGGGCAAGAGCAGCCCCCTGGCAAGGCCAGTCCCCAGCACTGTGCCCCATGCCCTGGGCTTAGGGACAGTCCTGTCCTGTAACCCTCCCAATGACCTGGGCAGGGAGGCGAGTGCACCCCACACACATCTGCAATGACACTGAACAGGAGGAGGGACTGAGCCCTCAGAGCCCAGGGTGCTGATGGAGAGGTGCTGGTGATCAGAGTGCTGAGCACCCCCTGCCCTGACTGACACGATAACCAGTGAGGATTTGGCACCTGGATGCCCCAAGCGATGGAAACAGCAAAGGCACACCTGGATCTGCATGAGGCAGCTGGTGCCCTGCCCCAGGCTGTGCAGGGATGAGGACAGCCCATCCTCCCCATGTGCATCATCCCTGGCTGCAGGGAAACATTTCACCTCCCTGCTGAGAAAACACAGAGCATTTCCTCCCACAGTGCTCAGTGCCCCACCAGAGACATTCCAGACACCAACTGCAGGAGCTGGTGGCTCAGGAGGACAGCCACCAAAAACCACAGCTGCTGCAAGTCAGCCTGGACAGGTGTCCCCTCCTCTCCCAGCACACTCATGCCCCACACAGATAATTTCATAGAGATAGCAGCGCTGACATGCCTGAGAGCTCATTGCAGAAAACACCTTTTGGACTAATGAAAGCAATGTGTGATCCTCATTACTTGCTGGAAAGATAACAAAACAGAAAGGAAACTGCCTTCATACATAAAACAAATGCCAGCTTTCCTGGGAAGGTGGGCACTGCTCAGGACAAGGGTAGCAAGCTCTTCATGTGACATTTGTGATTCACAAAAAAAGCCTCTCACACATACTGCTCTTTGCATCCATCCTGATGCTACATTTGATCACTTTGAGTTATTCATCTGTCTGTGAAACCTAAGATGGGGTTGTTGCGGGCTGCATGGTCACACAGGGTGGGAACTGTGTCTCCAAAGAGAGGAACCTGTGAGCCCAGCACACTGTGGGAGCTGGGAGCCCCCCATTGTTCCCCCATCAGCTGCAGGGGACAGACTGGAGTCCCCAGGCTCTGCTCCTGTCTGTGAGCAGAGGAAGATGAGGAAGACTTTTCCTCCCCCATTTCTCAGGTGTGGAGCAGGCCTGACAGTGCTGGGCAGGGCCAGGGCTCATGGAGGCAGGGAGCCCTCCAGCCCTGCCACCCCTGCCCACCTTCCCCTGGCCACCCTCAGGTGGGACATCCCCACACACTGGGTGACACTCCCATGGTCCTTCCCCTGCCTGGTGTGTCCCACAGGTCTTCTGGCCTTCACATCACCTCTAGCCCAGCTCTGAAACACAGAGCTCCATTCCAGCTCTGGAACACAGACCATCATGCCAGCTCTGGAACACACACCTCCATTCCAGCTCTGGAACACACACCTCCATTCCATTCCAGCCCATCCATGAAGACAGACCTCCATTCCAGCCCAGCCCAGCTCTGGAAGACAGACCTCCATTCCATTCCATTCCATTCCATTCCATTCCATTCCATTCCATTCCATTCCATTCCATTCCAGCTCTGGAATACACACCTCCATTCCATTCCAGCCCATCCATGGAACACAGACCCCCATTCCATTCCAGCTCCCTCCCCAGGGATGCCAGGCTCATGCCAGCCCCAGCCCTGGCAGCTGCAGAACAGCCATCCCTGCACAGAGGAGGCTCCCTGAGCTGGCCTGGGACCGAGCCCACACACGGGCAGGGTGTAGGGACAGCTGGGGCACTCTCCAGCTCCAGCCCCACACAGGGCTCTGTGAGACCCACTAGAGGATCTCCACCACTTCCAGAGAAGCCACCTGCTCCTGGGGGACAGCCACCCACTCCTAGGGGACAGCAACCTGCTCCTGGGGGACAGGCACCTGCTCCTGGGTGACACCCCAACATCCCTGGTGCCTCCTGGGCACACACAGACCCTCTGGGCAGCACCTTGTGAGGACAGACTGCCACCACAACTCTGTGGCAGGTGTGGGAATGGGCAGAGTGAGCCCAGCCCGGTGGGCACAGCTGCTCTGAGCCCCCAGCAGCACTGCCAGGGCCAGCAGCGGGCACAGCCTGGCACCCAGACAGCTGCAGGCTGTGGGGATGGCTGCCCACCTGTTCCAGCGGCACACAGAGGTCAGGGGAAGTGCTAATGAACTCGAAATCCCTGCCTGGAATGGATCCAAGGAACCCAGGACTGAAATGCCACATAACGTGATGGCTCCTTGTGCCCAGCATGCTGCATGCTGGGGCTTTGCCTCCTCCTCTTTGGGACACGAAGTGCAGCATCTGCCAGTGTGCCCAGTGCTCTAAAGGGTCGTTTACACACCGTGGATCACACAGCACGTGGGAGCAGAGGAATCCATAGCAAAGCCATTAATTAACAAACAGCATTCAATTCCTGTTTGCATGGCCAGCATGCCAGGGATGCCCAGCGGGCACACCGGGGGCTGCTGGAGCAGCTGCCAGCTCAGGGCCTGCCTCAGACATCACCTGGCACCGCTGAGGCCATCACAGAGCTCCTGGCTGCCCTTCCAGGAGGATGGGTGGGAAGGAATCCACCCAGGGTTCTCAGAGTCTCTGCAAATTCAGTGTCGTGATGGAGGAAAAAATAGTCTGGGAGCTGATGATGTTCATCTGCTGGGGATGGAGGAAGGGAAATCTCAGCCCAGCCACCACAGGCACCCCACAGCCATGCCAGAATATGTGAAAGGAGATTCTGGCATCTGGGGCATTCCAGCTGCTGGGAACAGTGAAATGGAGAACAAGGAGCTTCAGTTGCACCAAGGTCAGTGGTTTGTAAACAGGTTTTGCTGAACTGGAAGCAAAGTACCCGAGAAAAAACCATTTGAATCAAAGAAACTCACCCGGAGGTTTGGTCTGGGGACTGTGCCAGCCCCCCAGTGCTGAGCTGGCCAGGAGCACCAGGCAGGAGCACCAGGCAGGAGCACAATGCCACCACTTGCTATAGGACTGGAGAGGTGAATCCCCATGGGGAGCCATGAGACTGGGAAATCCTGAACCCTGGTCCCAGTTAGAGGGCTCTAAACAGCCACAAACCCCTCAGAGCCCTGGGGAGCTCAGAAGCAGGAGCAAGGGGCCCAAAGTGAGGGCCAGGGGCAGCGCTGCCAGCTCATACAGGGGTAATGCCTCTCCTGACATCATGGATGCTCCTTCCTCAAAAGCTCCATCTCTGGGTTTGTGCTGGGTTTCCCCTGTCCTCTATACAACAAACAGCTCCAGCACTTGCCCTTGCAACACACAGCTTAAAAACATGCCCATAAAGTTCAGAAATTGAGGAGAAAATAGAATATCCTTTTTTAAAGCACTTTATTTTAGAATTGCTCCATATTGTCTGCAGCAGACAGCAGTAACAATGCCAAGTGCTCAGAAAGGTAAA